CTACTTAAATTAGACAATGACTAAAGTTGTATGTATGGCTTGTTGTACACTCATCATGTAACTGTAAAACCTTAGGAGTCTACTTATATGGTAGCTTCATAATAACAAATTAATAAAATCTAATCGGCAAAGGAAGCTACCTTAATAATAAAAAAAATAAATATAGGTGTAACATGTTGTGTGACTAATATATATTTAATGATATTTTCTCTAATAAATAACAGACAAGATCATTCAAGTTAGAAAAAAAAAAAAAAAAAAAAATTAGCTCTTATTCAAATCTATAATATTACTAAAAACTAACTAATTCCTTAAATTTTATTACAATTAAATTTTTTTTTTTTATATTATTAAAGTGGCTTACATTACTGAGTGAATTTTATTAGTTTGATATATGAAGTCCTACATGGGGTTCCTCTACAGTTTTAATTATATGAAGAGTATACAACAAGCCACATGTACAACTTTAGTCATTGTCTAATTTAAGTAGTCTACTATGCAGGCGTTAAACTACCTGTTAGTACTACACTATGCTGCCATACCTGTAACCTGCCTATGAGTTACCTATTTAAATACTCTGTTCAACTAAACCATACCATTACAAACTAACATTACTATAACATTTAACCGCTTACGCCAGCTAGTTCGTTGCAGATCTATTTATCAACTTCAGCTTAGGTCCTCTCGAGTTACATTATACTTAACATATTGTGAATATCTGCAAAGCTAGTTAAACTCAAAGCATACCTACTAGAGCAGCCCGTGCCCATTTCACGGACTCACCTAGCTTAGACCCTTGTGGATATTCATACAACCCCAGTTCCTACCGTAGCTCTCTACTAGTATCATTTTGAGATCTCGCCAAAGCCTATCATGAGTAAGATCCTCCCAATCCAGTTAGCTGCCAGCCAGGTTAGTATAACTATAATATACAGTGATTCCTACTACGATATGGACTTATACGCACCTAACTCGATCAAAGTTTTTGATCATACTATCCTTCTGGATCAAGCGTTAGCTGGTATGACTGTTAAAAGCTATACTACTTCACCAACTCGGGATTTCTACCATACAGGTCCCCTGCCTATAGATCCTATCAAGATTTATTAATATAACGTTATATCTCTTCAAATGCTTCGTCACACTTCCAATATTCGGATGATATTAGTGCAATGTGATTTACAGGATTACAACTCCAGAAACAAACAGGGTTTACCATAAGTTGAGTACAAAGGTCTAGGTAATTATTCAAATTCGTCGACAGTGAGATTTGAACTCCAGACCTCTTGTATGGCAGTCTGGCAATCTAACCACTATACTAAGATTACCAGACCTTATTACAATTAAATTTAGAATCTTCTGAAATACAATTTATATAACAAACTATTAATCTACTTACCTACTAAAATAATTAACTAATCTCTTTTAATTTATTAATAATTTATATGCAAATGACTTACAATTTTATAAAGATATCTTAATTTTTATTTTATTTTATTTTATTTTTTATTTTTTATTTTTCAACAAGATGTCTGCAGATTTTTATTAAATAATATTTTTTTATATTTGTTAGTGAAAGTATAATTAGCTATATATACAACTTTAATTATTATCTATTTAAAGATTTTGCTATATAGGTTATCTACTAATTACATATCTTGTATCTGCCTATAGATACTTTATTTTTTTTTTTTAGTTTTAACCTGGATTTTAATTCAGAATGCTAGTAGCGTATTTTATTAAATATTTACATATAAAACATACTAGATGATTCAGATACATCAAGTTTGTTGGTTATTCTAACTACTTTTCCTACCAATATGTTTTGTTATATTAATTGCTTTTTTTACCCTATATTTAATTACTGACTCCAATATAGGGCCCAGAATTGAACTTCTCCACTTTAGTTGTATATATCGATACCAAATTTCATATACAGCAGTTATGTTTATCCAATTTCTTATTTGTTTATTTTTAGTATAATAGTCCACAAACATCGCTTTGAAATCATTAGGTATTTTTGTACTGGTTGTGAGATCAGCTAATTCCATAACTATTTCACAAATCTTTTTGCTTATAGGCAGTCAAGTACAAAATATTCAGGGGTCTGGATTATATTCGAGTAATTTGAACAGTTTTCTGTATTATTATAGTTAAAATATCTTATTCTATATCCCAAAAGGAGCACTTTGTATTGGAGATGCTAATATATATCCTTTTTAATGTTGGGAACCTTTCTTGTATTTATCCATTGCCAGGTATCTTTTATTAATTCATTTATCAGTTGGCTCTGATTCTTGATATCACTTAGCATATCCTCTTTAAAAATCTAACCATCTTTCTGACTGAGAAGTCTTCCTCTGAAATATTCACTATGATAAGATTTTCTTTATTCTACAGCCAATTTTTGGTACTATCTTCTATTCTTCTCTTAGCCTACCTTCAGGCAATTATATAAGACTTCCATTGCTCTAGCTAACCCTTTGTTTTGACAGGTTTACTATTTAGAGCTACTTTGACTGTAACGTTTCTTTTGATATTTAGCACTTTTTGAATTATCAACCTCTCTATCCTAGCCTACAAATTATCACTAGTTAAAAGCTTTATCCATATAGATATTAAGCAAGTATCTATTATATCAGGTAGTGTTAGCATATTTAATCCTCTCTGTTTACATGAAAGCTGTAAAATGGTGAATTTTGGAAGTAACTTAGATTTTGATCTGATTCATTTTCCTATCATATCATTAATGATGTCCAGTTGTTTTCAGGTTAGTGGTGCTATATATGCAGTGTATTATACTTTAGAGATAACTAGAGACTTTGCTAGAATTATCTTCCCTTTGAATGAGAGATCACATACTGACAATTTTTTAATTTGTTTTTGTAGTTTAACGATAGTGTTTTGCCATAAATGACTATCTGCTGCGCCTTGTAGTATTATTTTATAACCTAGGACTATTATAGATTTATCATCCTTTATAAGCTAAAAGTCTTCTTCTCCTTCGAGTTCTACCCATTTAGCATTTGTTGTCAGTGGTATTAGAATAGATTTCATAGCATTTATTTTAGCATTTGTAGCTGTTTCATAGGCCTTTACTATTTGCTAGAAATTATTCTAGTCTAGAGGTGAGCCTATTCCAACTGTTAAATCGTTCGCATATACTGCAACTTTAAATCTTTCATTAGCGATTTGCAATCCCTGAAGATTGTTTTTCAACTTTTGCAAAAAAGGTTCAAACGCGATTATGTAGAGAAGCGAAGAAAGAAGGTCACCTTGTCTTACCCCCTTCCTACTCTGAAAAGTTCCAAGAGTCTACTTGTATCTGAAATATAAGCCATCTGCTTAGAGAGCAATAATTAAATTAAATTTATGAATGCTGATGCAAAACTCATTTTCTTTAAAGTCTTTATTAAATACGTATAGTTCACTCTATCAAAAGCCTTTTTCTAGTTAATAAACAGCATCCAATGCTATCTAGTTTGATCAGACTGGTTCCTTAGAGTAGTCATAATATCTAATATCATATCAAAAATTGACTGATTCAAAATGAAACCTTGTTAGTAGATGCCAATAATTGTCTGACATATTTTGTTGACTCTGTTCACTAGTATTTTCATGAAGATTTTAAGGTTACAGTTAGTTAAAGATATAGGTCACCAGTTCTCTATTTCTTCTAATGTTTCCAATTTCTTCGGAATTAAGGTAATGATACTTTTGTACCAAGATAGGGAGAGCTTCTCACTGACTAACACTTCATTAAAAATAGCTTTTAGCACCAGTGCTATTATTTTATTCATTTTTTTATAGAACTTGTATGACAATCTATCTGTGTCTGGTGACTTATTATTAGGCAAAACTTTTATAACATTTTTAATATCTTCTATCATTATCTCTTTAATTAAATCACAGTTCTGTTCTTCAGATACTGTAATTAAGTCTGTGGTAAGTTCTGCGATTGCTTCCTCATTTACTTCTTCAGTTTCATATAGCTTTTCATAAGTTTTTTTAGCTTAGTATAGAATATCTGCTAGCATATGATTTGTTATATCTCCTGGAATATGTACTTTTGTTGTAAAATTAACTGCATGTTTAGTTTTATATCTGGTATAGAAATATTTAGTCAATCATTTGCCTTCTTCGATCCACCTAGTATTGGATCGAATTTGCCATCTTTCTACTATTTTCATAAGTTCTTGTTGTAGGTCTACTTGGAGTTTTCCTATCAGTATATTTATCTCTTCTTTTTTCAGGTGCTATGATACTTCTGTTTGTATCTCTATTATCGTTTTTTGCAGTTTGCAAATTTTCCTTTTAGAAGCTAAGATGGTTTGCATTGGCAAATTATTACCTGAATTCTGTTTTTTCATATATCCCATGTATCTACTAATATTTGCTCCTATAGCTCCTCCTCAATACCTTTCCTTATGTTATCATCTATTAAGTATTTGGTATTGATTTTCTAATAAGCCACTTGCCCCATGTCTAGTTGGAGATTGAACGTGCATTTAACTAATAAATGGTCTGAGTTTCCAAATAAAGTTTCAGTACCTTGACAAAACTGTATATGGTCACTGTCAATATATATATAATCAAGCCTTGTAACTATCATTTGGCTGCCTCTTGTTTTTTAACTATATGTCATGAATGGCTAGCTATTATTGCTAGCTATGTCCACATAGTTTTCCATAAGTTGTAGAAATTTTTCACAGGAAGAATCAAAATGTATTAGTGCCTAACTACTTCTATTTGTTTTTGGATTCGTGTTTATATTAAAGTCACTCATGATAATATTTAACATATTTTTATTAGCTTCCGAAGCCCATATATTGAAAAATTTAGTTCGTTCTTGCATATGAGGTGGGGTATATATATTAGTTATTTTATCTATATATTGTTTAATTACTACTAATCTAGTGATCACTCTTCTTTTATAACTTTCCTTCATATTTCTTTAATTTGACATTCTTATTTCCTGCCAAAACTACTATTTTAGCTAACTAGAAAGATTCATATGACTATTGTTTTTTGATAAAACTTCACATTTCATTACTGCTTAAATTTGTTTCTTGCAACATAATTATGTCTATATTATATGACTTTAGTAAGGTTAGTATTTTTGTATATTTGTGATGATTATTAAGGCTTTTAATATTTAATGTGGCCACTGTAAATTTGTTTTTGCTCATTTGATATTATTATATGTTGAATGTATAATGACCTCCAGTATTTCATCCTTTTTTGTATGGGTTTGGTCTATTATTGTGCATGCTCTTCGCTGATGATGCTTTCAAATCTCTCTTTTTATATATTACTATCATAAATCCTTCTTCTTCTGGTATATTTAATCTTATATGATCTTCACTCTGGCTGTTAGTGATGTTTTCTATATTTTTATGAACTCCAACCTGACTGCTTGGCGATGATAAAACTTTTGCTTTATCATTTAAATTTTCATTATTGTTTTGTCTTTCATCTTAAGCCTCCTCTTCTATATTCATTTCTTCTGTTAGTGTAGGTTTTAGCATATCTGTCATTACGAGTTCTACTTGTCTTTCCTCATTCTTAAACTCTTGTACTTGGCCCCTTTTTTCTGTCATCTTTTCATGTACTTGCTTTTAACTTTCTTCTATCTTGTTTAATTTCAGATATGGATTATTTTGTGAATACAATATTGTAGCCTCTGTGTTACTACTGTCATCAGGTTCCTTTTGACCAGA